TTAATTGATTCTAATCATCCGTGCGTGTATTCTGTCTTTCTGATTTTGGTTATTCTATCTGGAGTTACATTTTGTGATATGCTGGACTTTTGGGTGGAGCTCCGATTTAAAGATGTCATGTAATTCTGTTAGATATCTTTATCCAAGGAAAGCAAAAGTTTAGGAAGTAAAAGTCAATGCTGGAGGGGCAGAAAAAATAGAAAAAATAGAAGAAAAAAAAACCTGTATACTGAGTGATATTATAGGGTTATGGATCTCCCTTCCCAGGCATGTAAACTTGTATGTTGTACGTTAAATTGAAATTCTATACTGGTATGGAGGAAAATAACTATGAAATAAGAGAACTGAGGAGATACTATTTATGCGTGAGGAACATTTTTTTTACAGTTTTATTTTCCAATTCCGTTGAACATTAGGCCTACTGTTACATAATTATTACTGATTAACATTAACTGTTCTTTTTCGGGGGGTGTTGGCAGCATTATCCCTACTCAAATGTAGCCTATATTCATCCCTGAAATACTGATACATTTGTGTCTATTCTTGGTATTGAAATTTTATATTAATTTGTTCATAAAGCAACAACTTTTTTTGTTAAAAATTACAGCATTGCCCATATGAATTGTATTTGAAATTCAGGAGACAGAATTATCATTGATGTTCAGATATGTATCTGTGACAAGGACAGGCGCGGATCCATGATTTATTAGGGGGGGGGGGGCTCTAATTCGAAATTACGCGAGCCAAATATTATTACGTAATGGTTACACCGGCAGTGGCAAAAACGTTGGGGGGGGGGGGTAGACAAACAAAAAAAAACATCACCCCACGCTTACATGCAGGCCCCGCTGAACGTTTTTCGGCGGGGGTCAAGGGGTGGAGCCCCCAGAAGCTCAGGGGGTATAGGCATTTAATTACTGTCAGATGAGCATATTTTGATACCTTATTGGTGACACTGGCAGGACACAAATTGGTGTGGGGTATAGGGGGCGGAGCCCCGAGAAGCGCAGTGGTTTCATACATAAAATTATCGTCAGATGACCATATTATTATACCTTATTTGTGACACTGGCAGGACACAAATTGGTGTTGGATCCAGGGGGCGGAGCCCTCGGAAGCTCAGGGGTTTGGGGCAATAAATTACGGTCAGATGAGCATATTTTGATACCTTATTTGTGACACCATAATGAAAAGTTCGGCCCGATTTGGACAAAAAACTCCCATACGCGTCCGATGGATTCACCTGAACTTTATCAAGCTACAGCGGTTCAGTGAGCAGTGGTTGGACTGCTCCATTACAGTAAATAGGGGTGTTTGGTGTAATTACTATTAAATGCCCGATCCCTCGCCTCGTCTAGCACACACGTTCATGTACATATACCGGGTATATGTGGTATTTATACATTGCATTGAATTATCGTAGGGTCCAGGGGGCGGAGCCCCGGAGGCTCAGGGGTGTTTGGCAATAGATTACGGTCAGATAAGCATCCAGGGGCCCGCCTAAGGGACATTGGTTGGGTTGAGGGGGCAGAGCCCCAGAAGCTCAGGACTTTAGGCATTAAATTATTATTATTAATAATAATAATAATATTTTAAAGTCGACTCCAAATTTTATTAAACCGAAAATGTAAATTCTTTTTGCCCAATTGATCGTCAGCCCGGCAGCCACTGAGCAGCGCCAGATCGACGTTGCTCTATCCCTTATTTTTGAACGCAAAATAAGGTAGCAGCAACTCCCGTTATTTAACGTCTTTTAGTATGACGCGGCCGGTGATCGAACCCACGACCTCCCGGTTGTGAGGCGGACGCTCTACTGACTGAGCCAACACACCGGTAATTGCGTCAGACAACGGTCAGACAACGTGCAGGGCCCGAAGGGTCGAGAGGTCGAGGGGGCGGAGCCCCCAGAAGCTCAGGGGGTAGAGGCATTTTATTACGGTCAGACAACGTGCAGGGGCCCGAGGGGTCGAGGGGGCGGAGCCTCGGAAACTTAGGAGTTGCAGGCATTTAATTAGATGAACATAGTTTGATACCTTTTTTGTGACACTGGCAGGACACTATTGGTGTGAGGTCCAGGGGGCCGAGACCCCAGAAGTTCAGGGGTTATAGGCAGTCAACTACCGTCAGATGAGCATACATGTGCCTGACTTTGGGCCCTAGGTGAAGTTCAGGGGGCAGAGCCCCCGAAGCTCAGGGGTTTTAAGGCATTTAATCACGGTCAGATGAGCAATTCTTGTTTTCTTCTTCTTTTTTAGCCCCGGAAATTGGAAAATTACGTCGTCAGATATTTCTCCAGTGGCTTTGGGGTAGGGGGGGGGGGGGCTGAACACTGTTTTTTCTCTCTTTTGCTTTTTTTAACACACAAACAAAATCTTTCCCCTTCTTTCTTTTTTGCCAGGATCCACCACTGGACAAAGAAAGAACATCTACATAGTAATATTTCTGCTAAATATAATGAAACAAATTGTGAATCGATTTTGCTGCATATAGTCCATTGTATTTATTTTCTTCTTTTTCAGCCACTTTGGTACCATGTTTGCATACTTTTATTTGCAGCCATAAAGCAAAACAAGCTTTTGTGCATTTGAAAGACAACTGTATTTCAAGGCAAATGTGTGTTATTACATTGCACCTTTGACCTGTCACGTTCTACATGAGTGGAAGAGAAGGTAGATCTACTGTTTATAACTGAAATATTCATATCCTTTGTTAATGTGATGTTGTGGGAGTTTTCCCTACTTTAAGAATAAAGGTGGATTGGTTGAGTTAGGGTCTATGTTGAAAACTTGTTGAAGTAAGCTTTTATGTGTAGCATTCTAAAGAAACATAGAATCGGAACAAATCAAGTTTTCACATACTCACTTGGTATTAAAGAGCATGAATAATTTAGTCGTTAAACGTAAATAGATCGAGAAATAGAGAAAGAGAGAGAAGGAAAGGGAGAGAGAGAGAGAGGGATGAAAAGAGAGAGAGAGATAGAGATAGAGGGGGATGTACAGGAGACATAGATAGGTAGAGAGATAGAGAGGAAAAAAGAGAGAAAGGGATAGAGAGAGAGAAAGGGGGTAAATCGAGATAGAGAGAGTGAGGGAAGGGGGTCCAGGAAGAGAGGAAAGAGAGATAAAAGAGAGAGAGAGAGAGAGAGAAGAGAGAAAGGTGAAGGGAGAAGATGGTGGTGAGAAATAACGCAGGTATGTAATAGATATGCAGACATTAGAAAAGGTTTATTTTTCCAAATCCTGTTAAACATTAGGCCTACTGTTACATATACTAGTTACATAACAGTCCCTTTTCGGGGTGCGGTGGTAGTATTGACAGCATTATCCCTACTAAACACTGATATACTGATCCATTTATGTTTTTTCTTGGCATTGAAATTGTGTATTAATTTCTTCATAAAGCAACAACTTGTTTTTGTTAAAAATTACAGCAGTGCCCATATGATTTGGATTTGAAATTCAGGAGACAGGAATTATCATCGATGTTCAGATATGTGTCTGTGGCAAGGAAGTAATCAAAAAAAGAACATCTTCATAGTAATATTTTTGCTGAATATTATGAAACAAATTATGAATCGATTTTGCTGCAGATAGTCCATTGTATTTATTAGCTACAGATACTTTGGCACCATGTTTGTTTAATTAAATCTGCAGCCATAAAACAAAACAAGCTTTTGTGCATTTGAAAGACAACTATGTATTGAAAGGCAACTGTGTGTTTTACATTGCGCCTTTGACCTGTAACGTTCTAAATGAGTGAGAGAGAAAGATAGATCTAGAATTATGAACTGATTACTGCTATCTGCGTTAACCAAAGATATTCTGACACTGTTCGATTCAAACATTTGAAAGCTCTCGCTCAAAGACTCCATGGCTCTGCCATCAACACATTTCTCAGGGTCTGGGATGCTCTCACTACGGATTAGAAGACTGATGCTGTGTTATTATCATTTCTTTCTTGGCTTTCAAAACTAAAAGGACAAGTTCTCAGTATACAGATGAGTTCAAGTAAATTGGTTAATTCAGATGACCTGTCTCTGTTTCTTCTTCTTTTTTCTTTTCTTGTTTGGTTAAGTTATCATATCCAGCTGCACAGCGCCATCTTTAGGTAAAACTCCAGGTTAAATGACGGATTTGAGTGCATGTATTCACCCTTTGTTTCCTTCTTTTTTTTCCTGGTGCTATATACATGTACACAAAGCAACATTTCCTCTTTTTGGTTGGGTGTTGTTGTTGTTGTTGGTTCCTTAAAAAAATTATTTTTTATTGTTGATTACTCAGTGATTCATAAATTGTTATACCCCATCATCTAATTATTGTTACCATTTCTGTAAAATCATATGGATTGAATAAGGTGACCTTTGGGTTACATTTATTTAGTTAACCTTTTTCTTTTCCAAATGTTCTCTTTTTTTTAATTTAATGATTTTCTTTGTTTTTTGTCGAATAAATAATAATGTTGAAAAAAAATAAACAATAATAATTCATACCTTTGGTAAACATGATTTGGTTTTTTCGTAACTTAAGAATGAAAGATGGGTTGGTTGAGTTATGTACTTTGTTTAAATCTTGTATATGTCAAATTCTCAAGAAACGTAAATCAGGACATTTCAAGTTTGTCCCGTATATACAAACAGATATTTAAAAATTTACAGAACTTTGTAAGACTAGCATGAATAATTTAGTTTTTAACTCTAGATAGAGAGAGAGAGAGAAAGCAAGAGAGGGGAGAGAGAGAGCAAGAGAGGGACTAGGGAGAGAAGAAAGAAAGAAAAATAAAGAAAATATAGAAACAAAGAGAAAGAAATATATATATATATAGAAAGAGAGAGAGAGAGAGAAAGAGAGAGAAGAGAGAAAGATGAAGGGAGAATTTGGTGGTGAGTTTGAATGCAGTTATATTCACATTAGAAAACAATTATATACAATTAAAAGTTTATTATATTTTTATATCAAAACAGGCCTAAATAAATCAAGTCAGATCAGTTTATCTAAATCAGGATGGTAACCGTGGAGGTTGGACAGCGAGTTGTCCGGAGCACCAGCTGGACATGGCGAGATCAAGACGGCGGTGAGGGTCATCTTGGGACAGTGGTCAAGCTCAAAGATCAGGACCCTCAGGAACCCATTCCTACAGGCTGGGCCAAGGTCAGATGGGATAATGGTTATGGTAACAAATATCATGTCGGGTCCGGTGGCTCATATGATCTTGCGCTCTTTGACAATGCACCCGCAGGTAATTATTCTCTAACTAATTATTGTAACAATTTTTCATTTAGTTTATATTAAAATCTAAATTATAACAAATACATATACTTTAGTATTTTTTGTTCTCGATCTTAGCCGAAAAAAAATGGTAATTCTTGGTATATTGTCGAAGAATTATATTCTTTTAATAATAACCATATATTAAAATTGCAAAGAAAACAATTTACCTAAATAGATGAAAATAAGCTACACCAAATATTACTGCCTTTATTTCTTAATTAATCAAATCGTACAAAATGGAAAGATACAATGCTATACGTAATGATAAAAAAGCTGCCCATGACATCAAGTGACAAGGGCATAGTGTAATGGATATCCATTGTCAAATAAGTGAAGAAAGACATTTGCTATGTTAAAGAACTTTATAATGTTGATTGCATTATGTAATCGAAGCGAATCATTTGTCAAATATATCAATATACCTTGAAGCGACTCATACAAAAATAAAAAAGACAATTTTAATACACAAAAATAGGACTTTAATCAACAGATTTTGTTGAAATGGTCAATGACTGAATATTGTCCATTTTACAGTGACAAGTTCTAAGTTCAATTCAATTCAATTCAAATTCAAAAGACTTTATTTCCGTTAAAAAACAAAACAAATATATACATGTGATAAAGTACAGACAGTTTAAAATATACAAATCATGAGCATTATGTTAAATTAATTTTTAACAAACTGTGAAAATGAGTAAAAGGAAAAAGGAGCACTTGTAGGAAGCTTATGTTAGCTTGTTGATTTAGGCGTCCAATTTAATAAAATAATTACACAGATATAATAACATAATAATGAGTATTGCGCATGGATTTGTTTTACCCCTCCCCCTTCCTTCCAACCCCACCCCCCCCCCCCCACCACCACCACCTCCCCCTCCCCCTTCTTTCTCTCTTATGGTAATTTACAAATTATATTTTATTTTGAAATAGGTATTAAACTAAAACAAATTAAAGGGATAATAGATATATTTTAAGATGTTTCTTGAATGAGTTTAAGTAAACATATTGTGTGAGAGAGGATGGAAGAGAATTCCATACTGTGGGCCTTGTATACCTTACCGATTGTTGCATGTACTGTTTATCAATATTCCAAATGTGTAACTTTAGACTATTTAGAGTATTATATTTATGAATTTAAGAGTTAGTTTAGAACATAGTGGCAAGAGATGATGGTGCATTACCTTTAATACATTTGAATACAAACACAGCATTTTGATATTTATTTAGGCTATAAGTATTGAGGGTATTCAACTGTCTAAATAAAGGTTTAGAATGGGCCAAATAATGAGAATTTGTACAATATCGGAGACAACGCTTCTGAAGTAAAAATAAGGGTTTCAACTTAGAAGGACTTGTATTTGCCCACACGACGTTACCATATGACAAATAAGAGAGAATGAGTGAATTATAAATCATAAACAATACATTTCCTGGTAAATAATACTTCAGCTTTGACAATAATCCTGTAGTTTTACTAATCTTTGTAGAGATCATGGCAATATGGGATTTCCATGACAGTGTTTCATCTATGAGAATACCTAAAAATTGAATATTTGAGACTTTTTCAATAATTGTTTGATCAGTATAATAATGGTGGAACTTGATTTTTCAATTCTCTTCTGTTGCACTGAGCTGTTCTAAAAAGAACACATTTGGTTTTGTCTAAATTAAGCGATAGTTTATTTACCTTTAACCACAGAGATACATTTTTCATGTGTTCATTAAACTGGTCTATCAGTGAGTATAAGTTATTATGGCTTAAGAACAAAGAAGTGTCATCAGCAAAATGTACACATTTCAAGGAATGAGAAGAGTTGCATATGTCATTTATATATAAAAGGAAAAATAGGAGCCCTTGTGGAATTCCAGATTTAATCAGTAATTTGGTAGAACTGTATCCATTATATTCAGTAAATTGGTATCTTTGTGAAAAATAACTCTTAGTCCAATTCAACGCAATCCCTCTGATACCATAATTATCTAATTTCTTAAATGGAATAGAAAAATCAATGGTATCAAACGCCTTGCTCAGGTCCATAAAGACACCAAATATAAACTGTTTTGAATACAAGGCATTAACAATGATATCATGAACAGATATTAAAGCATGGTCAGTAGAATAATGGGTTCGAAATCCAAATTGATTATCATGTAATATATGATGTTTAGAAACAAAATTGTATTTACGATCATATACTAATCTCTCCATGATTTTTGAGGAGCATGACAAAGTTCAAGCATATGATGGGGTGGGGGGGGGGGTTAATTTCCGATTCATATTGACAGCTACACCAATACTGCTAAATAATTTCTTCATTTTTCATCTTCCTTAATCCTTTTTCAAGGTGTGATTCATGTTGGTGTAGTTTGTGATAGCTGTTCAATGAATCCTATAGCTGGCATACGCTGGAAATGCAGTGATGAAAGCTGCCCTGATTATGACCTTTGTACTCCATGCTACATGAATGATAAACATGACTTGACTCATCCATTCACTCGTTTTACCAGCCAGAAAGAAGCAGGGTATGTAAAAAATATATATATATATATATATATATATATATATATATATATATATATATATATATATAAATATTTATCTTAAAGCTTATCTGTACTAGTTTACAGGAGGGATTAGACTGCCCTGAAAGGTCACTTGACTGGTGGTTATCTCATCAACTCAGCTCTCAGTTAACATAAGAAACAAAGGATCAAGGGGGACCAATGGTCACCGATTAGGCATAGTTTGTTATAGAGAGGGCGCAAGTAGCTTTATCTTAAATATGAGATTTTTCTTTTGCTAATTTTACATTAAAATGCAATATATTTTGTGAATATCAATATATCTTTTGTATAAAAGTGGGATAGCAAACTGGAAAACTAACTTTTTCAGGACTTAGGCCTACTCAAGAAGTGGGGGCAATGGGGACATTGTCCCTCCAAAGTGAAAGATAAGTAGATAGACCCCCTTCCACCCCAGGATGCATACAATTCAGGTTATTTTGGTAATATTGTTAATAATTCATATGAAGATTGTGATTTCAAGGATTTCTATTTCTTGTTAAAGCCTTGGGAACTTTTTAGTCATACAGAAAAAACACTTATAACAAGTGCTCTAATTAAACCTTGTTTTACCCCCTGCAGGAAAACTTTTGGCTTCTGAAATTTGAGTTGGAACTGTCTCAAAATGCATTTACCTTTTTTGATGTATTTGATCGAGTTAGCTCCACACAATCTGATTGTTCTAAAAGCTTCAGAGGCCCCCCCCCCCCCACTTTTTCAAGCACCTGAAAAGTGCCCCTTTTTACATAGGAATAGTGCCCCTTTTACTTTGACAAGTGCCCCTTTTAAATAGTAAAAGTGCCCCTTCCTTATTCACCTCTGATATAAAGTGCCCTTTTATTTTCACACATGCCCCTATTCCTTCGACAAGTTTCCATTGTCCTTTGCAAAAAGCAAAGCAAACTTATTATAAATGCCCCTATCAAAATCTGATGGGGAACCCTTTTCCGGCGAAAAATGCACATTTCCTATTCTCATGACTGACTTTTTTCATCCCTGGGTAGGGTCTCTTTTTGAAGGAGTAAAAAGTGCCCCATTTTCACATCTTATAATTACTCTTTTCCTATCATCATTAAACGTGCCCCTAATTTCAAGCGACTAAGAGCAATTTCCCCCAAAGCTCGCTCGCTACGCTTGCACGCATTTATTGATGATAAACGTATGTTACTTCTCAAAAGTCTTTTCAGTCTTCCGTTTTAAGAATGTGCTTATAACCCCATCAGGATTGGGTTTTTCCTCTTTATAAGAAGTAATTTTTCGCACTGCGACCTCACAAATGTTAAACTTTTCCTCGCTCGCTCGCAAATAATTTTTCAGACCATCACACCCAGCTGCAAATTATGATGCTTAAGCGATATCTTGTATGATGTATAAAGTGAAACAAATATTGAAAACATCCCTGATAATGTAATCACAGTGTAGGGGTATATACCAATGTCTAAAAAAAGGTATATTTTCGCTTTGAGATTTCCCTTTGTAGGTGCCCTTTTTTCCAGAAAGTTCCCTTTTTTCTTGCCCCCCCCCCCCACTTTGGAATAGCTTTGTATAATTCTCTTAAAAATATTAAAAAGAGACTTGTTTGTTTTCTCAGGACACAAGTAACACCTCGATTTGGAGAAGCGAAGACAGTTTCCAGAGGGCTGTGTCCAGAGGCAGAGGTCCGTAGAGGGAAGGATTGGCAAGGAGATGATGAAGATGGTATGAAATTCATATGTTTCACCCATTCCATTTATTTTCTTTCATTTAGGGTTCTCCTATTTGGCAATGCAATACCTGAAAAATTGTGATTTTAGTAACTTTTTTCAAAATTGTAATTATAAATCACCATAAACTTTAGCAAAGCAGTAACAGAATTTAGGACTGAAATTTTGATTTAGTTTTTTTTGTTTTTTGTTTTGTTTTTAGCCCAGCCACTTTGATTGTTTTGTTTGGTCTGTCTCCATGAGTGCCTGTTTACCACACATGCCATTTTGCACAAAACAGTAAACAATTGATGGAAGGATTGCTTTGTGTAACTTAATGTCAGTGCAAAACCAACCATTTCAAATCTTAATTATAACTCTTGTAACCTTGCAAAACAGTTTTTAATCTCAATCTCATAAATAAAATGTGGTACAAGGGGAGGGATATTTTTGTGGTATATAAAGAGTTAACAGACTAGTAGATTTATACTCTTACCTAGCACATGTCTTTATTATTCAGCTAAATTTGTGGTCACTCTCAGTACTTCAACAAATGAAGTTTACAGACATGCCCCTGATCAATAAATATTTAGAATGTATGGCTTACATTTAGTAAAAAAGTTGGCATGTACCTGAAGTATTTTGTTATGGACCAATACAAATTAATCTGAATCTGAATCTGAATTATGTCTTGTGATTATTGAGTTATTAATTGATAATACTTTATTTTGTTTAGCTTTTCATATTTTGTCTAAAGGCGTTGCCTGATTGAATATTCTCTCGATGATTCAGGTGCCAGTGGGACTGTTCTTGACATATGTCCCTTCTCTGAAAGGCCACGATCAGGCGTCACTGTTTGCTGGACTCAGTCTAAACAGGTCATTACTCATAGAGTTGGATTTGATGGGAAAATGGATCTGAAATACACCACAGCAGGAACAGGGATAGGTTACTACGCTACACATCTCCCTGTTTTAGGTAATGTATCAAGCAGTTTGTCATCTAGTTCCACAATTGGCTTCTCTATTTCATTTTTTCTTCATTCACTTTTTAATTTCGGATTACACACGTATTTTTTGCTCTACCTGTTGTGTACTTTCCATTACTCTTACCTAAATGATCATCTTCATCACTGTAACGAGTATTGGTATTGGTAGCTTTCATAATTATTAGAATCATAAGTATCAGGAATACCAACATCATCATCCTCCTCATCATCTTCATCATCTTCATCAGCTTCATCATCATCATCATCATCATCATCATTATCATTATCATCGTCATTATCATCATCATCATCATTATCATTATCATCGTCATTATCATCAACACAATCACCATCCTCTCCATCATCAACAGCACTATCATTATGATCATCATCGCTTTTTTTTTCTAAGAACTTTATATGTCATCCGTCGTGTTCATCTCCTTTTTCGTCACGTATAGCGATCCAACGGATCACCTCTTAATTTTCGAAAATGAATATTTTCGAATTTGTATAAACTCAATAATCCTTAAACCGATCCGTACCCTTTGGCAAATGTAATGAGATCACGATATGCGCTTTCTGAAGAAAACAAAAATGTATAAAGGATCATGCAGAGCGAATACTTCAAAATGGCGCCGAAGATGGCGTTTTTTGTGTGAAAAATACGCAAACTGTGTTAAACTCGTCATAACTCCAAAACAATTATAGCTAGCCCCATGACCCTTGGCAATAACATGTTCAAGATTATTTGACAGCTGTGCGCCAATTTCCAAAATAAATGATAAGGTTAACAAAAAGTTATGGCAAAAAACACATTTTACCTGTCCATTTGAAGCCCTCGTCATGCATGAATGAACACAATATTTGCTTCACATTTAGGAATATAATGACGGCAAAGGAATCTCCTTCGATTTGATACCAAACAAGTGGTACCTCATCGCAGAAAAATTTTCCACACATTTCACACAATTTTTCAAAATCATTCACCATCCTCCCACGCCACATGATTTGCCGCTTGCATACAATTTGGGGTATTTTTACGGATATGTGTTAGCTAAGCACTCTATACATTTTGTAAATGATGTTGATGTTTTGAGCGAGTAGGAAAACCCGTTCTATGTAACATGGGGACTGGAAGTGGAAGCAGAGAAGTTTTTAGTGATAAGATGATGGTTTGGTAGATCTCCCCCCCCCCCCCACACTCAGTGTTATTTAGGGTACTCGTATGCGTGTTCCCTCCTTTTTTAAAAACACCCCCCTAGATCCGGTGTGTAAAAATCAATACGGGTCAGATTTTTGTGTACTACGAGCCGGACTTTTTTGCGTGAAAAGTACGAACATTTTGGGAACACGCGTGCGGTCCTTGCGACCCTGGGGTGGGGGGAGGGGGGCGGGGGTAGATCTCTCTGGAAGTTTCTTGCGGTAAGTTAGTTACCAGTTAAGGTGTGCATTCGGGAAGCGGTGTACACGGGCTTGGTGGTTTTGTTGTGTTGGTTTTCGTATCACAGTTGCTGACTCTCGGGAGTTTGACCAGGTAGTTTACCGCGGTTTTACAGCAATTTGCTGTGATTGATTGATTAATTGTTGTGTGGCGCGCTGGCGGGGATAAAGCCAGAGATTTTGTTGGTGAACGGTTATTTGTTGTTCCAGTTTTATAGTGTCTGGAGAATTAGTCTAGCTTTTAGTTTTGTTGTTTAAGTAACTGTTCGTGTGTATACAGCCCACGCGGTAGCATTAGTGTTAGCCTACGTTTTCAGACACGTTTGAGTTTAAAAAATATTCACATTTGTCAAAAGAAAGGAACGACTGACCTATCGGATTACCTTATGCATCTCAATGACGAATTAAAGTCTAGTTTTCGACGGGCCCGGCCCCCCTTGATCCCCCCAAAAGGATTTTTTTCAAAGAAAAAAAAAGAAGAATTTTCTCACAAATTGGGCAACAAAAAAAAAGTAGAAAACGAGTGTTCTTAACCCCCCCCCCCCAACTTATCCACCGACTGGATTAGCCGCTGCTAAATATTTTCCCACGAATTTCCCCCCCCCCCCACTCTTGCTGCCGGCTGGATCCGCCCCTGTTCCTGAGAAAAGGAAAATCATGCTTTTAGATCTGAAATTAATCAAGTATTAAAAAAAAAAAAAAATTATCATTGTACATCATTCGAAAGCTCATGCTATCCTTTTTCTACATGCCATTGTTAAAACCATGAACAAGAAGTCACGCAAGACAAATTTCAGACATTCTGAATTAGAAGTAAGACACCAATTGGCCAAAAAAGTTAATGGCTGCTACATTTGGTTCATTACGCTCTTTAAAGGTAAAACAAAGTTTTGGTATGGGTCATGAATTTGGTCCAAATGAACATTTTGGGAGCATATGCGATCCTACAATATTCAGTGATCATTGTCGCGGTTGAAATTGAGTCTAAAGTTATGAAATTGTAAATAAAAAAACTCTTCATGTCGTATAGCTCCCTCCCGAGGTCAAGATATTAATTGAGCTATAAAACAATGTTTCTTGACTAAAATCGACCAATTAGCTATTGGAAATTCTATATCACAACTACATATTCTGAGATTTTCATGGTCGCAGCTTCCATTGTACGGTCGTAGGCGCTATTGGAAGTTATGAAATTGTAAATAAAAAAACTCTTCATGTCGTATAGCTCCCTCCCGAGGTCAAGATATTAATTGAGCTATAAAACAATGTTTCTTGACTAAAATCGACCAATTAGCTATTGGAAATTCTATATCACAACTACATATTCTGAGATTTTCATGGTCGCAGCTTCCATTGTACGGTCGTAGGCGCTATTGGAAATATATCAAAATTTACCGGGAGCACCGGTAAATGTTTATATTCAATTTTTCTCGAAAGCAGAAGTGTTTTAGGGCTAAATTTTCTAGTGTTTATAATACACCCACAGGGGCATCCAAATATATCAAAATTGTAAAGAATCACTATCCACCCAATTTTCAAAATTTCCCAAAACTTTGTATTACCTTCAAGAAAGGGAAATTATATGGCATTATTTATCGTAGGAAATAAATATCATTAAAAAAATAATGATCTCTTATATTTTTAAGTGACTTTCGATTTTTGCAATTATTATGATGTAATTAACTTTATTTGATTATTCGGTAAAACAAACAACATCAACTTTGAGCGGCATGTCGTGCTCTTTTGATAAAGACATTTAATATAAAAACTCAATTTATTCTAATGTCAAACCTCGTAACTTCATTGATGTGGTTATTTTGATAACAGGTAAAGAGGTTGGTTTGAAGGTTGGAGATCTGGTAGCTATTACTCTGGACAGCGAAACTTTGCATAGTATGCAACAAAAAGAAGGGAGCGAGTGGTTACCAGAAATGGGAAATGTGAGTAGCGTGATACAAATACAAATAATTAGATAAACAAACAAACAAACAACAAATGTACACAAAGATTTAAGCAACCAAATAAATAAGACAATTTTGTAAACATTTTTTACCACCTAAATTCAAGTAAAGGAAATGTTAACAAATACAAACAAATAATAACAACCAAATAAATGGATGCAAAGATAACTAAAAACAAATAATCAAACAAATGTGTAACGAACTATTATAAACGAACTATCTATTGTTAGCAGAAAACATCATATGTGTTGCAGAGGAGCTGTGAATAACACAAGTGAAGTTAGCTACACAGCTTCATGTGAAAGCAAACACCTGTAGTTTTATGAAGTATATTTAAAGTGCCCCCCCCCCCAATATCTAAATACATGAATAGATGTATATGTTTGATTTGTGTATATACGGTAACATACCAAGTAGAATAGGGTTGTGTTGATATAAAAATAAACATTTAATGATCATTGTCACGTGGAATACCTTCTAATTCCATTGATCTTCATTTCCCACTGTACCCTTTCAGCTGTATGGGAAGGTTGCCAAGGTTACTGGTATCGACTCAAGCGGGTTTGCAGAGGTCACTTACCCTGAGAAAGAAAAAAAACCTCTCACCTTCAATCCAGATGTACTGAACAAGGTATGGTCTGAAGTTCTACGTCACTTCCTCTTGTGACAAGTGCTCTGCAGTAAATCCTAACTTCAACCTTGGACCCAACACTATAGCTAACCCTAACCCTAAAACTAACTCTGTACTTTTGACGAAATAAAGCCCCACGCAATAGTTGCCAGATAAATTTTCGGAGTATCATCATCTGAACGTTGATTAGAGAAATGACATGAAGAAAGTCAATAGTAAAATAGAAAGATGTAAAAACATTGCATTAAACATGTAGTGTAGTGTAAACAGGGTATAAAATGTAAATAAATAAGTGAAATAGCATTGATGATAACTATTGATATGTTTCTTGAATTGAGGGATGTACATGCTGTATATATAACCTATGTTTCCATGGTTGCTCAAATTGAACTTCACCTCATTTTCCTTCCTACATGTAATATCACATCTGCCAGAGATTTATTTGTATTTATGTGTCATGTTTACTGACTGTAATTCCCCTTCTCTGTATGTTTGTCATGGCTTGTCCCTCCCTCTGCCTCTATTGCCCTCTCTTGCTTACCCCCTTCTCTATATCTCTGTTATTCACACACACACACACACCCACACACACACACCCACACACACCCACTAAAACACACACACACACTCACACACTACCACAAACATGCTCACCCACACCCTCTCTCTTACACAATCTCTCTCTCTCTTTCTTCTCTCTTTAATACAGTGTATCATTTTCATTACTTTCTCCATTAAATATATATTTACCCAATAAACAAAACACTAAAAAGTAACCTCTTTTGGGAGTGTATTTTACGTGATTTTAAAGTATGGTGCCTTTTGAACTAAATTTAAACGTTATCGACACATGCCTTCATTTAAACAAAAAAGGTACTCCTGTTCACGTTTTCATCTAACCTAAAAACCACCAATTTATCACGCGACAGGAGTAACGTGATTCCACTTATCTCTGTAAATCACGTGTTTATGACCAAATATCCACTTGACCAAGCAACGAGTTTTTTGTCCGTTAACCGATGGTGGTGATAAATAAGTAATTATTTGGTCTTGTAAGCACCTTAATCGATTGGTTTCACAGGTTATCCAAGGTTGATGGTAATAATCACGTTACTTTCACCGGCTAATTGTCTTATTGTTCTATCCGTGAATCTCTGGTTATATTAAATTAGTAATTATTACGTGTCTTAAAACACCTTTTTAAATGGTTTCAAATTTACCATAACTTTCTTGGTTATGATCATGTAGCTAAAACTGATTACTAATCTAAGCTGTGAATCCATGATATTTAGGTGTGAAGAATAAGTATTTTTTAGGTGTATTAAAACACCTATTTAAATGGTAGTCAAAGTTGCCAGCAATTCCGCGGTGATGATCTCGTGACTCAAACGGATTATTAATCTAAGCTGGGCATCGATGATTTTTAGGTGTGAAAAATAAGTCATTATTAGGTGTCTTAAAACACCTATTTAAATGGTAGTCAAAGTTGCCAGCAGTTCCGCGGTGATGATCTCGTGACTCAAACGGATTATTTATCTAAGCTGTGCATACGTGACTTTTAGGTGTGAAGAATTAGTCATTATTAGGTGTCTTAAAACACCCTTTTAAATGGTTTCAAATTGACCATAACTTTCTTGGTTATGATCACGTAGCTAAAACTGATTACTAATCTAAGCTGTGAATCCGTGATATTTAGGTGTGAAGAATTAGTAATTATTAGGTGTCTTAAAACACCTATTTAAATGGTAGTCAAAGTTGCCAGCAGTTCCGCGGTGATGATCTCGTGACTCAAATGGATTATTGATCTAAGCTGGGCATCGGTGATTTTTAGGTGTGAAAAATTAGTCATTATTAGGTGTCTTAAAACATCTATTTAAATGGTAGTCAAAGTTGCCAGCAGTACCGCGGTGATGATCTCGTGACTCAAACGGATTATTAATATAAGCTGGGTATTCCGTGATTTCCAGGTGTGAAAAATGAGTTATTCTTGGGTGTCTTGATGGTTTCACAGTTACAATCTAAGTTCCGTGGTGATAATCCCGTGACTGTTGGCATATTTCTATTTTCACCAGCTGATAACTGACTGTTGGCATCTTTTCATTGCACCAGTTGATAACTGGTCTGTGTGCATATTTCCAGTTGCACCAGTTGATGACTGCTGGCTGACTGTTGGCATATTTCCAGTTAAACCAGCTGACACCAATAAATTTGCATATTGACTGTGGGGTGCGTGTAGATCTATGTTTTTTAAACAATTTATCTGAATGTACAGCATATTTCTTAATTACTGATGATTTTGTAATATGCAATTCATTTTGAAAATACTACAAATATAAATTACCAGTTTTTAGGACATTTCGCTACTTCGTATAAATTACATTTAATTAAACATGAATAAGGGAAACATTAACTAGAACTAAAATAATTTCAATAAAATATAAGTATATGACAAAATTTCGATTACTTAAATTATGTTAGTCTACTTATTACCAATGCCTTTACATTGGAAATACAGACGTACCAGTATTGAAGTGTTGTTGCTGTTCAACTAGTTGGAAGTTTTACCAAATGGTTCTAATGGCTTAGCTAGACCAGTTGAATTCTACCTGGTCTGGATCAATTGAATCATTTAGCCCATTTCAATTTCCGGGGTTACCAGTTGGCATTAACTGGTTCATCAACTGGACCAGTTGCAACTAGCTTTCTCCTCTGGGATGTTTGCAACCACCCCCCCCCCCACCCCTCTAATCCCAAACTGCTTCCGGTGCGCCTGGACGTAATTATGGAAGATCCAAAACACGATGTTCAGAAACGGGATGAGAACGTCATTATTTTGGTTCATTTATTGTGTAACATTTGCGTAATTATTGGGTTGAACGCAGGTTACAGTAATATATTTCCTCTTCGACGTAAATTTCACGTGAATAAAGAACATGATTCATCTCAAGTCAGCCTCGTAATATTCACGTGAATTTCACGCAGATATTTTGACCAAAACTATCACTAACGCTTCACGTGTTTCTGTGACGCGATAATTTCGTTTATGAAGATGTAATTTCATAACCAAACAAACACGGGAGTATTAGGTTTCCAAACCATGGTCTCCAAGGTAGAGATAATCACGTTATTATAATGGTGATATTGCAGTGACAATTGCGTGATTTAGTGTACGTGTGTTTTAAGTGACCTAGTGCAATAAACGTATTAACACATTTACGTAAATGTCCGGTGTTTGAAGAACGTAACTCTCCTCAAGTCGATACCTTAATATTGACGTAATTTTCACGTGATTTTGTTTATTGGGTATATATGTCCAGGTGCCTAGGCTAGGTAAGGGAGACCGAGTGCAGATCAGTAAAGACTTGACGTTTGTGAGGAATGTTCAAGAAAGCAGTCGAAATGGATGGTCGGATGGCATGGAAAAGGTCAGTCAAACAAAACTTCTATACAATATGAAGTTCTATATGAATTGTTAACACTTTATGTCTCCATAGAGTACCAAGTTCGGTACCAGTGAGCATAATTTTTTTGTTTTCGTATCTAACCCCGGAATTGAAAAAGTCGCGCCGAACAATATTTCGCTCAGGGGGGGGGGGGGGGGTGGCAGGTTTTTGTGATCTCTCACTAAAATATATATATATATATATATATATTTCTTAAATAATATTTATTTTAAAAAACAATATAAAAAAATCAGGGGGGGCAGGCCCATCGGGTTCACATTGAAACATGTACTAAAGGAACCTGTCTACAACAAACATATTTTTTGTTTCCCTTGGGCAGTCGCTGTAGACAGGTTTGACTGTATATTAAACGTTACATCATCTCTGTTTCAATCTCGATACTTCACTTCTATTTTAGTATCTAGGACTGGAAGGGACAGTGATAAACGTTACAACAGCCAGGTGCGATTGATTGGTTAGGAGAGGAACAAGCCTTGGGATTTTGATGTAAGACTGTTCTTTTAAAAGATGTTTACTATGTCCAAAATAGATAATCAATCATTACTTCATGCCTATTTTCAGTGTCTAGGAATGGAAGGGACGGTGATGAACGTTGATTCATGGCACAATAGCCAGGTACAATTAATTGGTTTGGAGAAAATGAGGTCATGGCATCCGTGCTCCTTGGTCCTCGTCAAGAAGAACTCATCAGATGATGACGAGCAGGGTGCTGAATCTACAGGCCTCAAGCTAGGTGGGTTGAATATCAATGATTTATGAAGACATTGGCATATTTAATAACCTTGCTGCTACCCTTGTCAAAGACAATTTTCTCTCGGCAATTTTTGCTGTAGTCCCCCATGTTTGGTATTAGCACCAAGGCTATTATCCTCTGGTAAGAACCCTTGATCCTATTTAATACAACCTTTTACCAATGACAAGTTGCAATAATTGTTATTAGCTTTTGAAACTTTTGTGTTTGATCGGTTGTGAGCAAATCTGTCATCTAATTTTGACACTTGTTGCTGATAACAAGGATCCTGAATAAATTAAGGCCTATTGTAGAGATGTCATGGTCTACTTTAATACGTAATGAGAATGTGGATCACATGGTTCACGGTTCTAATCGTGCCGCGACACCAATGTCGTTTGGCAAGATATTAATCTACATTTGCCACTCTCAATCCTGGTGTTAAATGGGGACCCGGAAGGAAGTGAACGTCAATATGTTTGGATTGGCCGATTTACTCCCCAGTAATGTACGGGTTGGCAATAAAATCCAATGACTCTGGTACAATGTAACGTGCTTAGGAACGTATTATTAAAAAAAAATACCATACAAACGTTAATATTGTTATCATTGGTATCTTCTATTACAGATCCAGATGGAAGCGGAGAACTTAGTGAACTCGTCACAGCCTTTGTATCACTACTCATGGCAGAAGTTGGCAGCTCATTCGATAGTGATTCAGGCGAAGGAGGTGAATAATCTTTCACAAGGATCAATCAGTATGTCGCAAGACCTGTATAGATTCAACTACTGTTTTAATCTTGGGAGACATAAAGTCCAGTAGCCTTTCATTTGGAAAATAT